CCCGCCGGGCTTCGCTGCGCCCCCAAACTCACACCAGGACTCCAGGTCCGGACCCTACTCAGGCAGACCCACTCGATGAGCGGAAAAGACACGATTTTCGCACCATGTAGTTTTTCTGCTGTCAAGCTTGGACTCTTCCCAGCCGTTTGAGTGGTAGCAGCCTGGTTTTATGTGCTCAAGAGATCTGAAAGGGGCTGAAATTTAATTTCGCTCCGATTTCAAGTGACGTGACAAACTCCTGAAATCGGGAGTACGGGCTGTCTACACTGGTTCAGGCCATCCTTGAGTTTCCCTCCCACTTTCAAATGTCCCAACGCTAACTTCATACACCATTTAGTACCTGATGCTCTAGGGCTAAGGAAAGGCATTTCAGCCCCCAGGATTGTGCAATTCGATCTAAAGCGCCAGTAAGGCAGAATGAATTTATTCTTGACTCGACTGGTAATTTGCCCATACCCTGAAATGTGAGGGTTGATGTTGTAATTGAATCCTGGGTCACTGGCTGTAGATGGTTTATAAATATCTATGCCTAATGTAACTACTCTTTAGTAGCTGACTTCCTGTATCCCTTAGTTCAGCATTAAATAAACATTTACATGCAGATTCTTCATACTTTCAGTCTACATCAACTAGGAAAGTTTTCCCTCATAGGCGGGAAAAGTTAAAACGGGGCACATATTTAAATTTACTCAGTCCTTAAATCTTCTTGCATCATTAAAAATCTTCCTTTGTTGAATTGCTAGTTTTCTCTTACTTTGTCCTCAGATATTCTAGCACTTTAGTGTAGTACCTTGTTACAGTTGATGTATCAACTCAGATTCCTTAGGAGATTAAAAAAAGCCTGAATTGAGCTTTTTAAAGTTTTGAAATAGGCTCTTGCTGAGTTACTAAATTGCTCAGGATGAGCTCGAACTTGAGATCCTCCTGCCTCAGCCTTCCAGAGTACTGAGATTACAAGCATGCCTCACCATGCCTGGTTGGATTGAGATATTTTAAGACAGGGTAGCTATTTTGCGTTTATTAGGAAATTAGAACATGCTGGTGTTAAGCAAAGTTGTTGTCCACTATATGTAGTCTCAATCAGTGGGTTCTTGCAGCAGTCTGTCTCCATATGCAAGTTGTTTCAACATCTCCTTTTCAAACCCTGCAAAATGTACCTGCTCCCCCTCCTCCCTAATAAAACTGTAGAAAGTAAATGAAGTAGGGATGGAAAATCAGGTTTGGGAATAGAAACACCTTTATGTATTTGTTCATTTATGTAATTTGTTTTTAGTTTTCCTTTAAAACTTGTGGATGAAAAATGGCAAATATTTATTAAAATAAACTCAACAAAACTTAAAAACTGAGGCAAGGCATGGTGGTCTACACCTGTAATCCCAGCACTGGGGATGCTGAGGCAGGAGGATTGCTGTGAGTTTGAGGCCAGCCTGAAAGGGGTAGAGAAAGGAAACCCTGTCTCAAAAAGACACCCCCCCCCAAAAAAAAAAACCCAAAAGTTAAAAATTAAAATGCATCAGGTTTGTA